GAAACAACACTGGCTAGAAGCAGAAAGGAGCAAAACACTAGCTAAAAGCTAAAAATAGTAAAAATGCTAGATAAAAGTTAAAGGAAGCAGAACACTAGCTAGAAGCTTAAAGCTATGGAGTAGTTGTTAGACTGACTCACAGACAGTATAAAGAAATGCTTTTTATAATGTTTATCAGACAGACACTGATGACCTCGGGCTGTCGGCTTACAGACTCGGAGAAGGCCTTGGAGTTATTGGGTGCGCAGGCTTGGTGCGCCTGCAGGCTCCTAAACCTCCATAAACCTTTACCTAAATTCCCCTGACAGAGACGTGACATAATTACTGAAGACGACATAAGTGATTCTGTGAAAAGCTCTTTAAAGGATAAAACACAATGTGATGTCTGTTTTCTGTATTAATCTTCACACAGACTCAGATAATCAGGGTGTTGTGTCGGGTCGCCCGTGTGACAAAAGCAGCTTATAGTCTCACTAAGAGCTGTGCGCTCCTGAGCTGGATGATACAAGTAGTTGAGAAAAGGTAAGAGCTTACATTTATGGCTATCATCATCATTGCAGCAGTAATTTCATATTTGCTACATTAATTTATACTTTTATTCCTCAGAAATCTAAACCAGCAGCTGTTATGTGGCATGATCGATCTGCTCCATGCACTGTGGTTCACTGTCCTTGGGCAGAAGGAAAAGAAAGCTCGTGAGGCCAATACATGTTCAACCACTGAGATACCTCAGAGCTTAATGAAATGTGTCCCGCTGTCACTCATCGATGAGTTTCTCTGTGCGTCGTTGGCCATCAGCAGGCACCTCAGGTAAAGCGTCTAACCTTTAGTTTTTGTTGTCACCTTTCAGGCAGATGACGGATAGTGAGAACTTGAGGTGTCAGCATACATGTCAAGGATCTGGTGATGGAGTTCTGTGTTTATTCGATCTCGTCCTTGCAGGTTGGGTGTGAAGGCCGCTCAGTTCAGCTTGTTTGCGCGGACTCTTTGCTCCGTGCTGACGCATCGTGAGACAGCGCTCGGTGTAAACAAACAAGCCGACTGCCTCACGCTGCGACCACAGCCGCTCTCTTGTACTGAAGCTCTGTCTCTGCTTCTCTGCTGGGCCTCCCTCTCCCGATGCACAGCCCTCCTCACCCAAATACAAGCCTTGTCAGAAAGACACAAATTAAAGGAACTGATGGGTGAGTGCCTTCACTTAGTTTGATCATGGCAGAAAGCTTGAACAATGGCTGTGTTGGGACAGAGTAAACACTACGAGGAAGGAGAAGATTAACACTGCTGCAGTCGAAATATAAATCTTTGAATAAGCCTCTGAACAGAAGAGTTTTAGGCCAAACTGGTCCACAGCAGGTTCTGAAAATCAGCCCTAAATATCTGAATTTTATGTACAAAACAAATGGTTTGCATTGCTTAACTAATTATTAAGATAATAATAAACTAGAGAAATGGCATTTCCTGCGAAAATGCAGTGTGAATGCAAGAACTTGCTGAGAAACGGCTGAAATTAGCTAAAAAAAAATTAAATGTAGCTTTAAATGGAAGAAAAAACAGAAAGCAGAAACAATACATATTTGTTGAATTAGGTTTAAATAAGCAGAAATTCGCTAAAACGAGCTGAAATTATCAAAAAATGGCTGAAAAGTAGCTGAAAGGCAGAAAGAAGCTTAAACTACCCGAATGAAACGGAAAGCTGAAATGATCTCAAAAATGTGGAATTAGCTGAAAAAGCTAAAATTAGCATAAAACAGTTAAATAGTAGCTGAAATGGCAGAAAAAGCTGAAACTAGTATAATTAGGCCGAAAGGAACATAACAAGCTGAAATTAACATAAAGAAGTTAATTAGGCTGAAAGGAGCAAAAATTACCACGGAAAAACATGAATTTATCTGAAAACAGCCGAAATTAGCTAGAAAATGCTAAAAAAAAAAAAAAAGATAGCTGAACAAACTTAATTTAACATAAAGTAGAAAGAACACATTTGCCAAATTAGGCTGACGGAAGCAGAAATAAGCACAAAAAAGTGGAAGTTATTCGAATAAAGCTGAAATTAGTTTTAAAAAAACAGCTGAAAGTTGGCTAAAAAAAGCAGAAAGAAGCTTAAATTACCAGAAGGAAGTGGAGAGAGCTCATTTTTGCTGAATTAGGCAGAAAAAAAAGTTTAAATTAATGCAAAAAATGTGGAATTAGCTAAAAAAGGCTAAAATTGACATAAAAAAGCCAAATGTTAGTTGAAACATCATAAAAGGCTGAAACTTGCATAAATAAGCTGAAAGGAGCATAACAAGCTTAAATTAGCAGGAAGAAGAAGAAGCACAATGTTGTAATTATCAGAAAGAGTCTGAAAGGAGCACAAAACAGCTGAAATTAGTTTAAAAAAGTTTAAATTTGCACAAGGAAGCTGAAAGAAACTGAACCAGAGCAGAATGTGAAAGGAGCAGTAAATGGTTGTAAACACATCTAAAGAGCTGAAGGATGGAAAATGAGTTCAATGCATTTTCTATGAGAACAGAAAATGGCAGAAAAGGCTAAATATTTCAAAAAGCTAAAGTTGCACCAATACCCAAAGTCACAGCACCCTTCTCCTGAACAAACGGAACGTTTTGATTTATGATTTGTTGAAATAGCACAAAAACTGCGGAACGAGAAAGATGCTGAAAAACGTGCAGAAGGAAAATGGATCACAATAGTGTGAATGCTTCATAAACGTTCACACTATTAAAGTTACTGAGACTCAACTTCACTCAATATTGTGACAAAATGTAAAAATTTTCTCTTGCAGTCTCACTGAATTCTGCATGTAACGCTGCCAATTTCTGAAAATCACTTTTTATATTTTCATGTAAAACTTTTCTAATCAAACAAAAGTGTTATTCTGAATGAATCAAATGGTGCGTTTTGAAAGAGTTCATTCCAGTTTTCCAGATATATTGATGTGCAGGTATGCACACAATGTAAACATAGCCCTTTTATCTGCATATCTTACTCAACAAAGTGAGCAGAACAAGAAACAAAACGTCAGAACTATCAGACTTCTCAGTCCTAAATGTTTCATGTATGTTGCTATGGTTGACCTTTTTTTTAGCCACTTCGGCTGTTTCAGTAAACACAACTTACACAGAAGATGGCAGCCTGTCCTCATTGTTAATTTATGGACAGGTTAACAATTGTTATGAGAAAACGTGAAGATTTATGTTTTTTTTTTACCAGTCTTTGTGACATTGCAATGAGTAGCTCATTATTATTATTATTATTATTTCTGCAAGTTTCAACTTTTTCTGCTATTTCATCCATTATTTGGCTTTTTTTTATGCTAATTTCAACTTTTTCAGCTAATTCCACTTTTTTTTTTTTTTTTCACTCATTCCAATTTTTTCAGCCTAATTCAGCAAAAATGTGCACTCTCCACTTCCTTCTGCTAATTTAGAATAGAAATAGCCTTTATTGTCCCATGGCTGGGACATTCATGTGTAACAGCAGCATAATTTAAGCTTCTTTCTGCTTTTTTTGAGCTACTTTTCAGCTGTTTTTGCTCATTTCAGCTTTTTTCAGATAATTTCTACTATTTTGTGCCAATTTCTGCTTCTTTCATTCTAATTAACTTTCAGCTTGTTATGCTCCTTTCAGCTTTTGTCTGTGCTTTCAGCTACTATTTAGCTTTTTTTTTAATGCTGTTTTTAGCTTTTTCAGGTAATTCCACACTTTTTAGCTCATTTCAGCTCTTTCCGTTTCCTTCTAGTTTAAGTTTCTTTGTGCCTTTATCAGCTACTTGTCAGCTAAATTTTTGCTAATTTCAGCTTTTTTTAAAGCTGATTTACAAATGTTTATGCTCACTTCTGTTCATTTTAACCTAATTCAGCAAACGTGTCCTTTTCTTCAGCTATATTTCAGCATTTTTTTTTAGCTCATTTCAGCTGTTTTTCAGCAAGTTCTTCTGCAATAAGCATTCGCACTGCATTTTCGCAGGAAATGCCATTTCTTTAGTTCCATTTATTTCTATGCAGAATTTACAGCTTTGTTACGTTTCACAGCTAGAAAAGTCATTCCTTTATAAATGCATTCAAACTAATTTGTTTCTTTTTATTCTCAGGGCTGGGGAGGTATAAAGTGCGAGGTAAGAGCCGCACCTCCCAAGCCGACGTACGAGAAGTGAACCCCCCAGAGGACATCGAGACTCAAGAGGAGAGTCTCCTGGCAGATTGTAAAGTCCACCTCAGCAAGATCTTTGTCCACTGGGAGCCCGTGTTCCACTGCTCACACCCCCAGTCTGATCAGCCAGGAGACGAGCCGGATCCCAGTCAGTTGGCGGGTGACACTGCACTTCTGCTCCTAAAGTGCTCTCTGAGGTGGCAGGTGGAGAACTCGTGTGATGAAAACGCAACGGGAGAGTTCCTTCACTGGTTGGAAAAGGCCGTGATAAAACACGGGGAAATCGTGAACCTCGCGATGCTCGATTTCAGCTTCAAAGCTGACCTCCTTCAGCTCTTCCATCACACCGCTGAAGTTCGGTGTCACTCCAGCTTTCCAACAAAAGTAGAGACTTTGCAGCGTTTTACCAACATTATGATCCGTTTACTAGAGATGCAAGGCCACCTTCCAGATCTCCATCAGCCAGTTGTCTCTGCCTGTTTCACTCATCACGACCAGTCCAGACGTGGTAAGACACAAAGAACTTATTTAGAGTCTCTCTGAGTGTGAATACAAACAGTGCATAAATACATTAAGTTCTGACTTGTACTTTGGTAATGTGAGGAAACTAAAGGTCAAGGGTCAAACATTTAATTCTGATGGCATTTGTTCGAATGATTGCAGATCTTAATACAAATTAACTTTACTGTATTTTAGAAAAGGACATTTCAAAATATTTATTTGTGCAGTTTATCAGCAACTAATGGCATTGCTTAATAATTGGGGACTGCCCAGTAAGGCAGCCACCGATTATTATCCGCCTGACGAGGGTTTCTTAACTTTACATCTAACTCTTCCGTCAACTTTAATGCGGCCCAAACAGCAACATGTACCCCCACAAATGTATCAAAACGACCGGCTCGTCACCGTGACGTGTGCCATTACTTTAATTGGCATTTCAAGTTACCGTGGCGATGTAATTTACAAACAAATACGCCGTTTTAATGAGTCATTTTTCAAACTCTGGCTGCAAGTCAACTATCCAAGATGGCAACCTGAGCTAAAAAGGAAAAATACTGTAAATCAGACATTTTTAAAGATATTAAGCTGAAATTTGGTGTAGTGGTAGCTGAGAGTGATGTCCAATAAATAATGATTAAAAAAAAAAATTTCAACATGGCCACCAAAGTAACAATTAAATGGCTTTAACTCAGCTATTTTTACACATATAGAGCTGAAATTTGGTGAGGTTATAGCTGAGATTGTTCCCCGTCACATACTGAACCCAAATAAAAAAAAAAATCCAAGATGGCCACCTTAGATTAAAAGAAAAAATGACTATAACTCATTGAATTCTTTCTATTTTCAGCTGCAATTTGGTGTGAAAGTAGCTGAGATCAAACCCCAACACATGGTACTGTCAAATCAAAGATTTTAAATGGCTGCCACGTGGCAGTCCCCCTCAAAGTTTCTCCAGGAACTTGCTAGTTTTTTAAATATTTCTGGTACAAGCAGACATGCTGGACAGGACGGCATGAAGACGATGAGAGGCAACATTTAGCAGAGCATATGGAACTAAATAAAAAGTGCTAAAAGTGACAAAACTCTTGATAAAATGCAACAACTACATGATAGAAATAACGAGATATTTTAATGACCTTAGATTATCAAGAATTATAGTAACCTAAAAATAGGAAGCGTGTACTGTATATACATTTATTGTTTCTGTGTGAAACATACTAATACTGCACGGTGGATCTCGTTTGTAAGGAGTTTTAATTGAACTTTTGTTTTCTCCTTTCCAGAAGCTGGACTGTTTCTGTTGTCGTTGTACATCCATGAGCTGTGGAGTGGAGCCGCCTCTGCAGAACGGTTCCTGTCTCACGTTCGTTTGGTGACCAAAGTCGAGAGCAACGGCCGAAAAGCCTCCAAACCGTCAAAGACTCAAACAGCCATCAGAGCCATCTGTAACGACATCATCGCCATTAAAAGATAAATCAAGTGTTTGGACACTTGTACAAAGTAGACTCTGTTTTTTCAGTCAATAGTAAACTTATCTGACTTTCATTTTGACGCGTTTAACGTGACTTAAACGTTTGATTAAAACTTTTTTTCAATACAATCTTATTTTTCAAATCTTTTTTAATGCAGGGTTCCTCTTGTAACCCAGTTATAGTACGTACGTGAGACATTAATGTAAAACATATTAAGAGAAATACATATGCATACATAATATAACTATTTTAAACTTTCTGTTCTCACAAGTAATTATAAACTGGTCATTTAATTTTTGAAAGCATGTATGAGTGCTAACCTTTAAGCATTTGATCCTCTGTGGTGTCTTCTTACTTTGAATTTATGCATCCTACAATAAACATAATGCAACATTTTAAATGTTAAACAGAACTGTATGTGTTTAAAATAAAATATTCCACTTACTTTGGCAACTTTCCTCCCATGGACATCAGATTCAAGCTGAGAAAGAGGAATCCCACAAACGCAGCCAGACTTATCCACAGTATTATGACAATTGAATCTGAAAAGGAGGATAGGATTTTTCAGACATTATGAGCAGAATTTAAAAAAGGTAATATTTAGGAACTTACATTTATTGTATTTCAGCTTGCTTTCATCCACAATAACAGGATCAAGGTAATCATAGTAGTACTCCCATTCGTAAGAAATGGCACTGGTGGAGTTTCCAGTTACAGATGTGTCATTTTTAAAAACAGCTGTCACGTTCATAAGAAGGGAAGAAATAACCATAGTGAAAAATAAAAATTATCCTGTTTTCAGCATCTGTACAAAGTCTTGAAAAGCTCAGGAAACCACCTGCTACTTTAATTTACACGTGTTTCACCGACTGCTCCCCGATTATTTCTGCAGCTCCGTTCCGTTTGCAGAGGATCTCAAGAGGCACGTGCAGTATTTGCAGTTGGCCACAAGAGGGCGTAACGGACATTCAAATGAGCTGATGTGGTGTTCAGGATCCACGTTTGATATTGTAATTCACATGACTGATGTCTATTTGATTAAAATAAAATCAACCAATCATCATCTGCAAACATACTCGTATGTAAAACCAAAAAAAAAAAAAAAACAAAGATTTAAGAAATGTTTGATTTAACGTGCGAAACCTGACCTTTTTAAATCATGTCTTAAGAGAATAGTTCAGTCATAGACATTCATTCTTGTCGCTCATAAGGTGTCTATGTGGGTAATTACATAGACATGAATAGCATACCCTATACTCTGGTGGCTATAAATCGCATTCGGGTAATTTTATGAAGGCATATTATAATTTCTAATAACATTGAAAGCAGCATTTCATGACGTCACTGATCATGGAAAGTCCTCCGTACGTACGTTGACGGCTACGTGATATGTCGACGGGGCGGAACCTCGGGGTAGCTGGTTGAATTTTTAAGCTTAGCGAAGGCCTTGGTAACGCCAGAATTTAGATATAATCTTTCTATGTTCTCCGGTCATGATGTTTTTCGTTATATAACCATATATTACCGCGTTTGGTTAAATAAAAAGTAAATTAACTTAGTTAATTTGTTTCCAGTCGTAACAAATCGCTATGGATGCAGTGAACGAATTCAATATGGAGGTAAAGTTGATCTGTTTAGCCCTAACAGCTAACTCCGATGCTAACTACCTAATCTCAGTTCCTTGTGATTATTTTGTATTTTGACTTTTGATACTGTTTAATTGGACAATAAACATCTAAGTACTGTATTTGTTGTGAGAAATAGGTGTTTCTTTTCGTTTATAGTTAACATGAAAAAACAGTTTTTGATTAGCGTGATTGTGCGGCCCTGCACTAGTTTAACATTAGCGTGATTGTGCGGCCCTGCACTAGTTTAACAAGCGCATGCTTCGTAAAACACGACTCAAAAATGACTATTTTTGTAACTTTCTTTTACAAGCTGGGTACAGTATTACTGAGAAATGTTGCTCATGGGGTTAGCTTGGATTCGAACCAGGGTTTGCAATGAAAGTAGATCCAAATCGTGTTATGTTGGAGTCTGTAAATAATTTAAACTAAATTAAAGGTTAGCTCGTCATCAATCCTGTTGCTTACTTTAAAAAAAGTTTAAAGTTAAATCCTATAGCAGGGTAATAAATATAGTTTTGCTTGCTTCCATTATGCTTTACTTTAGCTTGTCATACGTAAATCAACGCAAGTAAACATCGTCATTTCTTGTTTTATTTTGAAGAAATTGTCTTCCTGTTGATACGTAGTGATGCAAGCTATTGCAAAAGTCAGTATTTGCTTGTGTATTTATAACTACTCTATAGTCTAAAACAAATTATTGTTAATTAACTAGTCTCTGGGGAGATGGCGGAAGGTCTTGAATTTACATCAAATTATGTTTTACCTTTTCAGTAAGAATAGGAATGTATATTTCAATCAAAATCACAAAGCTTTATCAAGTGGGAACTGACTGTGACGATTTTGCATATTAAAAATGTTTGTTGTTACTATTCTGTATAAATGGTAACAACAAGCATTGAGCGGCTGTCAGCTGTGGCGCCATGGATGAAATCCCTCCACTGTCATAAATGCAGTGCTTGTTCCTTCATCATTGCTTACGAATCGCTCTTACTTTTCTGCCATTGTCCAGTCGAAGTGCAATTTCTCTCATTAGTATTTTGTAGTACGGTGTCTAGATACCAGTTTTCAAATTCAATAACTTTGTCATTCGAATTAGGCAGACCACCATTGCATTTCTCCCCAGTAGCATCAAAACAAGATGAAGGGCAGAGATGGCGTAGGGGCAGGGCAGCCGACTCGTTCGACCCCCGATCATTGCACATCTCGTGGTGTCTCTGAGCAGGACACCTACTCCCGAATTGCTCCCCGGGTTCTTGCATAGCTGCCCACTGCTCAATGGGTTAAATGCAGAGAGCCAATTTCGTCTTTGTCTGGGAACATGCCATGATGACAACACATAGCACTTCATGTCTTATTTTTATTTATTATAAAAATAAAATAGTGTAAAGATTTGACGAGTCAGAGATGTCAGAATAATGGTTGGGTTAAATAGGAGACATAATGTATCATTTTTATTTTTAACATGTTTCAAATAAGAATATTGATACTTTTCATGCAAGAAAATGATTTTTGATATGCAGTTTATTTTAATTACATAATTGGGTTCTGTCTATTGCATTTATGATTCAATATAACAAAATACACACATTTAAAAGGTAACAGATCATTGTAATACTTGATTTATTTACACAATGACTTAATTGCTGAATGTCTGGCCCCTGAACTGTTGGCTTTCATTAACTGTGGCCCCTTGAACAATGTAGATGAATAGCCCTGTTATCGTATGCATATAGTAGTGGAATAATGGTGATGATGAATGGTGTAACCCAATTGTATTTGCACAATAATTGTACTTTCCAAATAAACTGATACTGTATATATTGTTTTTAACTAGTTGTTCTCCATGATTGATGTGAAGCCTCCAGTATCCCGTGCTAAAATGATGTCTGTAACAAAGTCAGCCATCAAAGCCATTAAGGTAAATAAATAAATGTTTGTTTGTTACACTAAATAGTTCTGTAACCCTAAGTCTATCCAGTTTTGTAGGCACAAAAACAAATCGTAAATGGACTGTGTTTATATAGCACTTTTTAATCTTATCAAAACACTCAGCTGTGCCCTCATTCATACAGCACTCTACTAGATCTCTACAAAGATTCATCAGCGCTTTAGATCACTTTCATACAGCAATGGGACACACATAGGAGGCAGTGAGGGGTTCAGTGTTTTGCCCAGGGACATGCATGTGACTGCAGGTGGAATCGAACCCCCAACTCTTGCACTGGAGGACGACTGCTTTAACCACTCAGCCACAGCCGCCCCAATACAACTTTATATAAATTGCTATTTTTGTACTGATCAAAAGTGTACAAAGAGCATCTAGTGTTAACTTTGAAGTTATAACAAATTAAATTTAAATGAAATGAACCATCCTCATAATAGAACATGTTCTCACGTTTACTTCTCCCACCATGCCAGTCCTCTCAGTGCCTGAACTAAATTGTTTTCTAGGTCTACTTACCTTTACATTTTTTTAACACGCTGCTCGGACGACAAGTTCTCATTTAGCGTTCCTTGAACCATCATTAGGCAGAACAAATTTGCTACATCATTATAATGAGTAATTGTAATTCTGTGCGTTTGTGCACACATTTTTTTCCCAGCGTCACAAATATTTTCAGTGGGTATAGTTTTATACCTTTTTAAATTTTGGTCAAGAAGGAGAAAAGCCCACTTTTATAAACTATAAAGTTTTTCAGCATTTTCAAATACAACAAACCTGTTAACGATAATATATTAATTACACAACTCTTGCCGTAGGCACTACTTTACTCAAACCTGAATAGCCAAATGTCAGGCTTTAGCTGACTGAAACAAGTAACTCTCCATAACAGATAAACAATTCTGTTTAATTCATTGATGCTTTTTGGTATTTTCAGACATGCAGCACAAGTGTTTTTATTTGCACTTTGACATTATTAACTTTTATGTTTAAATTTTGCTTTGCCATTTTCTGTGACTTGACTTATTTTTGTCTTTATTTAGCTCTACAAACATGTTGTCCAGATAGTAGAAAAGTTCATCAAGAAGGTATGTTTTTATTAAGCTTGGTTCGAAATACTAAAACTAAATCTTTGAGCACCTTTTCTTGTTTTATACATGACATTTTTTAGACGAAGTATAGATCTGCCCTTTTTCGCTGTTTTTCTGCTTCAGTGCAAGCCAGAATTAAAAGTTTCCGGATTATACGTGGTGGACTCCATCATTCGACAGTCACGCCATCAGTTTGGTGTTGAGAAGGATGTATTTGGTCCAAGGTTTTTGAAGAACTTTACAGATACTTTCCAAAACATTTGTCATTGCCCAGAGGATGATAAGGTACTTTTAAAAATATCTTTATTTTATTGCATTTACTGTACATTGAATAAAATAAAATTAAAAAATCTTAAACAGATGATTTTTTTTTTTTTTGTTACTCAGAATAAAATAGTTCGTGTGCTAAACCTGTGGCAGAAGAACTTAGTGTTTGGCTTGGACATCATTCAGCCTTTAATGGATATGGCCAATGGCGTTGTTGTACGTCCTCCTGCTCTTGAAGGTAAACAGTGTTTGTAACATTGTTCTTTGGTCATACTTGTACAAAAAGTAGTGTTGTGCACCTTTAGTTAATTACTTGCTATGATAGGTTGTTAAACCATACTGTATGATGTGAACAGCTCCTGTTGGCCACCAACCAGAAACTACACCTCCTGTTAAACCAGAATCTACACCTCCTGTTAGTACTGCCTCTTTTGGGCCCGCAGTACCTCAGGTACCCATGTCAGATGCTTTAGCTGCGGTGGCACAATTGCTTCAATCCGCTCAATGTCAGGAGGTAAGCTATGAATTGGCCTTAGTTTTTCAGTTGCATGTTCATTTATTTATTAATTGCTTCTTTACTTCTCCAGCTACAGATGATGCTCCAGAACCTTCAGCAGGCAGATAAGACTCTAGGAGCTACCACCAGTGCAGGCAACATACAAAACCTGCCCCAGATGCCAGAGCTCCAGCTCAACTCGCACGGCGTTGAAGCTGTAAAGAAAAGCTCTTTAGCTGAGGTAGTACCATATCTCAGTATTAAACAAATGTTTTTGGATTATTAACTTCTCTAAAACACTTGTGTTTACATTTATTTCCCCAGAAACTACTTGATCGATTTGACTGTGATGATGAACTTGTGGAAATGCCAGTTTCTGATGTCAACATTCAGTCACGGTGAGTGTAAAAGTTTAGGTTGAGTCTCACTGGCAAAGTGCATGTGTCACATAATTGTGAATATTTGACTTAACAGTGCATTTGAAATAATGCTATATTATTCTCTTGCCATTTTTCATACAAAAACTAAAGGTTTGTAGAGCGCACATATCATAAATATGAATCCATCCATTATCTTTTACCCGCTTCTTCCATTTTGGGTCACGGGGGTCGCCGGTGCCCATGTCCAGTAATCACTGTGTGAGGGGCGGGGTACACCCTGGACAGGTCGCAAGTCCATCACAGGGACACATAGAGACAAACGAGACAAACAACCATTCACTCTCTCACTCACACCTAGGGACAATTTAAAGTCACCAATCAGCCTAACATGCATGTTTTTGGTCTGTGGGAGGAAACTGGAGTACCCAGAGAAAACCCACGCATGCACGGAGAGAACATACAAACTCCACCCAGAAAGGCCCCTGGACCAGGATTTGAACCAGAGACCTGCTCTCTGAGAGGCAGCAGCTCTACCAGTTGCGCTGCCGTGCTGCCCGTGTTCAAAACAGTAAAACACAAATGGCAAAGTAAAAATAAACCTCCCTTTCCCCCGTAAATAAGTAAAAACACAACAAATGAAGTTTTGATGGCAATCTGTATTTAAAGGGATGCCAGTAAGAAGAAATTGATTGTGTTTTTAGCACATTGTATGCTTTTAAAACCTTGAGAGATTCTTAAATAATTATCATCCTGATGCATGCTCAATAATCCAGGTAGAAAAATCTAAAAAAGTTCAGTCTGGTCCTCTGGACATTGAATTTCCAGAGGACCAGACTCGACTAGTTTAGATTAAATAATTATTCACTCTTGGGAGCAGCAACTGTAGAGGCACAGTCACATCAACTTTTAATCATGATGTTGTATGGTCAATGTATCGGTTACAGTAAAAATGTTTTGTAGTTTATTGCCTCTGTAATGTCCCCTTCATGTATTTTTGTCGTGTCAGAGGCCTTCCTGAAAATGTGTTGAAGCAGTTTCATGGACAGCTGCTGAACTCAGACATTCAACTTGATCTGATGGGACAGACTGTGGATATGAAGGTATTTATTTATGTTTGCAAAATACAATAACCGTTCATGTCAAGTTAGTGGTTTTTCTGTATTTATTCACAGAGCAATTGCAAGTGTCTTGCTCTTTTTACACCAAAGTTGTATATTCAGGGATGCTTCAAAATCTTTTGATAAATGCAAAAGATTGCATTTGTGGAGCTTCAGGCTTCCTTTAAAATAATCTTTGTTCGTTATTATGCTCATTTTGATCAAATATTTATGGGTGTATTTTTGTTATCTCTCAGCACAGTGGAGGGATGAGTCGTGGGGATCGTCATTTGACGCCAGATGGGTATAACGACATAAACGATCCATGTACTCAATCACAGGTGAGCCCTCTAATTTTAATGTTTTTTAAAGCTTAGTTATATTAAAACAGTTCCATAGCTGGTGTATTTGGTTAAAAAATAGTTTGACTAGCTGCAAATTATTATGCAAAACACATCTATTATCTTGTTAAATCTGGAAAAATCATTTAACAAATTATCCTTTCAATAATTCCTTCTAGGAATACTCAAGAGAAAATTCATCTGTGAGACAGGAGGGCAGACGAAGCTATGGCAGGAGATCGAGGTCTGGTTCCAGGTAACTGCTGTCTTCACAAACCATAGTGCAATACTGGATCAGAGTCGTCATTGTCTTTAACCTCGTATGATGACCTCCATTGCTATTAATTTTGCTCTTGGTACTGGCTGCTTGTCCTGAGCCTGGTTCTGCTAAAGGTTTCTTCCTAATGGGGGAGTTTTTCCTTTCCACTGTTGCCTTCATGCTTGCTCAAGATGAGAGTTCTGCACTGGAGTTAAACTCAAAGCAGTCTGCTCCTCAGATAAATGGTGTTAACTTATTTTTAATATATGAATGTTTCTGTGCAGTGCCTTGGCACTATATGAATAAACTGAATTGAATTGAATTGGAGGAACAAGAAAATAAGTTTCAGAATTGAAACAAAGAGCACCACACGCTGATATTTCGTTTTTGTATCGAACTGAGGCTAAAAGTCCCTTTAAATAACAACAGTAGCAACATAAGCGATTTTAAAAAGCAACTGGGTTTGTTTGTTGAGGTCCTTTTGTTTCTCGTCTGAGGATCATTCACAGTTCAAACTGAAAGGTGCAAGAATCGAGAACCCCACAGGCAAATCTCTCTCACAACTTCCTACATGATGCTGATGCCAGCCTGAAACTGCTTCTGATCGTTATAAATAAGTTCCTGTGTTCAGACAACAGATTTTGTGAGTTAAAATATAAGCTCAAGATTTCATTATATGTTCCTTTTTAATTTTCAAATGGCCTCGAAAACACAGGTCTCAGTACCTCAAAAAAAAAAAAAATTGCTTGAAAGTTTAAGTTTTCATTACTATATCTGTCATCTGTCCACAACACAGTATATCTTAGCGTTGTGTGTGTTGCTTAGTTTTGGCGCTTTGCCACTGTCTCAGTTGTCATCGGTTCCGCACCACACGGCACCAGTTATGGGCATGCTCGCTGTTGGTGCCACCCACTCTACCTGGTTTATCGCACCACCTTGTTCATGGTTCCATGTAAGGGTGTGAATCTCACTGTGTCTTTCGATTCTTTTTTTTGGTGTCACGATTCGATTCAGAAACGATTTTTCTGTTGAAATGGTCATACATTTTGGTTATGTAATTGACAAGATGAAACATTAAACAACAATGTAAACAAATATAACATTTATTTAAAACAATAATTTTAGTTCCTCACTGTATCAAATCTTTTTGCATAATTTTATATGTATACCAAAAATGGGAACAAATAGGAGTGCATAAAATCCTGTAACTTGAATAACCAGTATTAGATTAGCTTAGCTGCCTGGATTTTTCTCAAATAAAATAAAAATCTAGGAACAAATCATCCATTATCTTTAGATAATGGATGATGGACTACTTCCTTTTTGTGTTGTGGGGGTCACTGGTGCCCATATCCAGCTATCACTGTGGGGGACACCTGGACAGGTCTCAAGCCCATCACAGACAAATAATTCAAATTATATAAATACAAAAGTAAACAAACTTCAGCCTACCATCGTGCATTAACCTTTAACTCAAAATGTAAAACAGACTTCAGTTTTTTTTTTTTTTTTTTTACCGTATTGCACTAACATTTGCTATATTTTCAACACTTAACCTAATATGGCAGCACAACGGCTCAGTGGTTAGCACTGTTGCCTCACAGCAAGAAGGTCCTGGGTTCAATCCCCGGTTGGACCTGGGATCTTTCTGTGTGGAGTTTGCATGTTCTTATGCTTGCGTGTGTTTTCTCCAGGTACTCCGGTTTCCACCCACACACCAAAAACATGCATGTTGGGCTGCCTTCAGGCCCAAGTCTCCCTTGCAAAAGAGATCTGTCATCTCAATGAGATTTGCCTGGTTAAATCAAGGTTAATAAATAAAAATAATAAATAATATGAACTATACGGTACAGACTTCACAGTCCATATTGATTCATATTTGGTAAATCTTTAACATGATTTCAAAACCTGTGCATGTCTGCACAAAAACACTTCTGAACTGTATGTACTTTACAAACCATCTTGTATCATTTAGAACTGGCTCCAGGCAACACGTCTCATCTGGCCTCTCCAACCTGTTCAAAACGAATTGCATAAAGTTTTTTGTATAACTTGTCTATATAAGTTTTACATGAGAAAAAACAGTTGCCCTTTGAGCTGCTGCATTAATCAGAGCTTCTCCCACTTTGTTCCTTGTTTCATGGGGGATTTGTGGCTATGCTTTATCGCTAAAAAGCTACGTGAAGGAATAACATGCGTTGGGTCCAATGTATTAAAAATAAACCTAAACCCCTCACCTTCGACTTAACTATCTGCTTGTAAATCCTTCGCGCTATAGCAGGCGATAGAGTGGGAAATCTTCACAGTCCTTCTAGCTGGAAGTTGGTTGCATTGCTCCAGAGTTCGTTGGTCTGCTGCTTTCGCTTTTCATCTTCCTTTTGTGCATTTGTTGTATAGTAATGTTAGGTTCTACATCCCCCCGTGATAAGTGGAAAAACCACGAAGTAGGGACGCTATGTTTATTTTTGTATTTATTTGAAGTAGGACTGGGCCATATCATATTGTTCATGATAATACTGGTAAAGAAAGCTTGCCCGTGCAAAAAAATATCATGATATGCTAATTTCGTGCCGTAATACATCGGGCCCCCCGCCCCTTTAACAGAACCGAGTGCGCCGAACAACCAAACCAAATTGCGCCCCCCCACCTGTTGGTACTAACGTAACACTTATTAGTTGCGCACAATACTAAAAAGCTAAAAACAAGCAACGCGCGGCTCAGCTGTCCCTCCATCCAGCTCTAAACTGCAGGTACAGACAACTCAAATGTCTCTCCCTCCCCCCGCTCTAAGCTACTACTCGTCTTTTTTCTCTCTCTCCGCACCCTGCTCTGAGCTGCCGGTGCGGGCTGCATCTCCGCTGCTCTAAACTGCCGGTACAAAGACGTGCAGGTCTGTCTCTTGAGTTCCGCAGTCCATGGACCAAGAACAGAGTCAGATGATCAGAGACAGAGTGTCAGAGAAATGAATCATTCCTGCAGGAACAGAAGAAGCTGAAACACCACAAGCTTCAGGGTCAGCTGGTCACCTTGTTACAAGTTCTAGAAGTTATAGCTCATTTAAAGGCAACATATATTTTGTTGTATGTTAAATTTATGCTCAACAGATCTTAAGCTTCATTTTATTTTATTTAGTTATTTTGGGAAACTCAACCTGCACTTTAGTTTTTGTGGTGGATTTATTGAGCTGTATTTTGTGCAGACTTTTTCATCTAAATAACAGAAGGATCTTTTTTATTTTTATACTTGGAGACTGAATACTTTACTAAATAAAGTAATTTCAGTAAAATTACCCCTTGTTTTTTAAAATTTTATATAATACTGCAAAACAACATGTTAAGTTAATTTTGTCAAATAACTGGGTTTTTTTTTATCACGAAATTTATCGTTATCGTGAAAATGCTCTGAAATATCACAATATTATATTTGAGCCATATCGCCCACCCCTAATTTGAAGGCGTTAGAAACCCTTCCCACACTCTTGCAATGTTCTAACTCTTAAACCTACATCATTTTAACAACAGACTTATAGTACTGTATATGTAGCTAGTAAATTTTACTCACCACGCTCTGCAGAACACATTAACAGTGGTCCAACTCGATTCTGTCCAACTCAGTTTGTTTCTGCAGATGTAACCTGCAGCAACAAAGCCCAAAATCAGTCCTCTAAACTCTTAAACCTACTAGTTTTAACAACATACATATATGTACTGCAGTAGCTACTGCAAAATTTGATATGGTTACTCACCAGCCTTGGTCCGGTTCTGGACAGCTTCTGATCGGCGCTCTGCAGCCGTTGAGCACCAGATGCTTTTAGAGAGCCGGACCTTCAGAGAGCCAGCACAAAACCACACAATGGTCC